TTCTTACGGATAGAAAAATTATCTTATTTTCTTTTCCTCGTGGATAAGAGAAGGGGACTACTTTAAATGTCTAGTGCCAAACTTCTATCACTGAAAATGGCATAAAAAGGTCAATACAATTATTTATATACATTAAATATATGATTTATTATTCTTTATATTAATTTTGTTTATGAGATAATAATAACTAAAAATAATGATATAATAATAGTGTACAAAATGGTTAGTCAAATCATACATCTTATTCCCATTTATTATATTATATATAACTTAGTCGATTTAAAGTTTAATTAGTAGATTAATTATTTATAACTTACTCATATAATCATTTATTATCTGAGTACCTTTGACAGTTAAGTATTAATAACTAGAATTTTTTATTTATAAAATATAGGTTCATCAAATAATTTATATCAAATATATACCATCATAATTAATTCTATATTAATTATTCCTCACATATCCAAATAAGGATTCCACTTTAAATAATAATAAGAGTAAATTACACTCACACTCGTGAGTTTTAGTGAAATTATACAAACTACTCCTCCCTTTTTTGTTCTTACACGAATCACCCCTAATTTTGTACATATGTTACACTGACTACCTCTGTATGATATAAAAGTGTAATATTTTAAACAAAAAATGTGTGACGTGTGTAATTAATTAAACAAAATATTGTATATTGTGTAGACCAATTCAAATAATATAAGAGTCAATACTTCTTCATTATTTGGCTCGTTATAAAATAATATAAGATTTATTTAAACATATCTTTGAAATTATTAATGTATTTTGTAATGACACAAAATAATAAAGAAACACCGACTTTTGTACTATTTGAAGTGTTACACAATATACAATATTTTGTTTAACTTAATTACATTCATCACACGTTTTTTGTTTAAAATATTACACTTTTATAACATGGAGGGGTAGTCAGTGTAATATATGTAAAAAACTAGGGGTGATTCGTGTAGGAGAGAGGAGTGGTTGGTGTAAGGAAAAAAATGGAAGGGATGATTTGTATAATTTCATTAAAACTCATGGGATGTGAGTATAATTTACTCTAATAATAATGAATAACCACATAATTTTATAAAGTTAATATAATTGTTAACAAATTTTATAGTATTTTTATATATTTTTATTTAAAGAATAAATTATCTTATCGTAAGATAACTTATCTTCTTAAATTCATTTATTGTTTGACATGTGTTTTATTTTTTATATAATATATTTAAAATAAAAAATTCTAAATTAAAGAAAAATCATACATATATCAAACAATAAGTAGATTTAAAGAAATAAATTATCCTATGAGTATATAGTTTAATTTATTTTCTTAATACTTAGTTATAAGTTGTTTATTGATGGGGGACAGTAATAAGCTGGCCCAAATTTCCATGAAGGCTTCGTTTGAGACCAGCGAACCATGTTTGCAAATGCTAATGAAGAGGGCGTACGATGTTCTATTCGTTCCACGAGAATTTGTTATCCTTAAACATGTTCCCAATCTTGAACCAATTAAATAAAACAAAGATATAAAAAGTCATAATTATTTTATTTTTAATTAATATTTTGATTGATTCGAGATAGATTTTGTGATGTGTTTGGGACATCAGATCTTGTCCAATATTTGTTATCTCGTAACTTGTAACTTATTGCTATATGTAGGAAATCAATGTTCGAATTTCCATTTTCATTTTCCATCTTTAATGGGAGTGTGGTTAAATAATATTTTAAAGACGGGGGACAAAGAAGTTTTGTTGTTGCTGTTGGTGTCATGTCATGGTCTGTCTGTTTTTATTTTTATTTTTCTATTTTTTTTATCGATGCAACCAAAAGGTGAACTTATCGAGTATAAATTTATGGTATGTCGAATTATATTTTAGACTCAATACATTAAAGTCTAGCTTGGGAGCTAAATTAGACAACTTGGTTTTTCAGAAATATGTTTAAGATAACTACATATTAACCAGCAAGTTTTTTTTGTGTGCAGATTTCATACATAGTAGCTATATGTCAATCAAAATTATGCTTTACAATGCTAGGATTTTATGACCGTTAGTACCATAAAACTAATGTAGGAAATGGATTGTTTGTAAATTCAAACATTTCTAGGATTTTACTTAAAAAATACAATAATAATATACTTCATTTGTTTCAGAGTTTTTGATATTTGAAGTTATTCACATAATTTAATAGGTCAATAAGTAATGTAGCTATTAATTGTTAGAATTACGTTAAATATATACATTATTAAATGGAAATCATATTCAAATATAAAAGTTATTTAGTTAATTGAAAATGGTAGATAATATAAGTGGTGATGTATACATTTCTATTTTTTGTAACCCTCATTTCTCAATTTTATTGCACTATTATTTCCTTTACACATTATATAAGTGAGGGAGGGGATTTTAATTTATCTAGTGGTTCATGTTTTAATATTGTTAAGAATGGGACTTAAAGCAAGGAAGATGTAATAGATGAGTTAAGTGAAATATCACATATATGAGTTAGACAATATATATTAACCGAAAACCTTACATTATAAGGTGTCAATGAATCTTGTCATATATATGCAATTTAGTTTTAAGAATTTTTTCATGTGGCTGTGCCACCATTGCAAATTACTCATATTTTCAAAAGGGACCTCTACACCTGGATCGACAAACAATTGGGGTCCATAATACATGTTTCGATCGAATCTTCGATTAACTAATGTACTAAATGAAGCATTATATAAGTAACTTTAACAACATATTTTGACACAACCTCAATGCATAAGTCCATGAGTATTTTTATTTATATGTATTTTAACTTATCCATTGTGCACCTGTAAGAAACTTCTTGTATTCATATATTTACTCACACTTCCTAACAAATACATATTTTAATTAATTTAGAGCGAATATACTTCAATAATTTCCAGTTTACACTTAAATATACCTGGAAGGAGATATAATAATAAAGGAAAAATTAGCATGTAGGTGAAATGATATAAAAGAAATAGGCGACTTAACATGAATCAATGAGATTGGTTTAGTTGGTAAAAAACCATTTCATATAACATAAACTCATGAATTCCAATTCCATTATCTACATGAAAATCTCAGTCACTAATAATTTATGACAAAAAAGCTATTTTTTTGTCTGTCATAAAAATCTGGCATAACATAATGATGGCATTTATTGGTGTGATATGAAAACAAATTCATACATAAATAAACAATTGTATATTTGATCCGACCAATGGTAATATACTCTTGTTTCAATTTAGAGTTTATTACAATATTATAAATATATACTTTTGTTGAAATATTTTTACATTGAAACAAATATATTTATAGTTCCATTGTTAATATACTCTTATTTAAATGTAGAGTACATTATCCTTGGCATATTCGATAAAATTAAAGGAATATAAAAGAGAAGTGAGTGAAAGTATGATTAGCCAAAAGAGTGAGTGTGAGCTAAGAAGCGGAACCCACCACGTTAACATTTCTCACTCTTCCCTTCTCTTCTCTGTCACTGCCAACTACAATGTGCTGGAACTAAAAATCTACTCAATTATATATATATTGATGTATTTGTTATTAGTGAAAAGTGCAACAATAGAAAAGGTTTTCTCTCTTGCATCCATTTAATTTCCTCCATATGTTAGCATCTAAATATGACAAAAACAAACGAAGTGGAAATTAAACACTGACATATGGTGCTGAACTCAATGTACTCTCTCTGTTTTAGACTTGAGAGTTAGTTTAATTTTAGACTCAGTCGTGGAGCTGGTGGTAGACACTAACGTGGGGTCATATTCCACGTGCTACCATGTAATATCAAAATTTATGTTTCACGTTTTTCACCTTATTGACTCACCAGCAATACTTGCAACAAGATGAACTTGAGTTCTTATTTTTAGACATATATACCAGCAATTGAGATCAAATACTTTGAAACACTATACTAAACAACATGTATTAATCCAAAACTGTGATATCATACTAATATATAAATGAGATGTTATGTTGTAAAAAAATGATGTAATGTTGTTATTCCATAAATATGATACAATGTTAATTGTGATTGTATATTGCTAATCAATCTATAAGTGTGATGTAAGTAATTTGTTTTGATTAAACATTTTTACTAAATAAGTTTTCTATCATAATTTTTTTATATTTGTTTTAGTAGAAGAAGTTGTATTTAATTGATAATTTTAAATTATTTTTTATAATTTTTGTTGTTGCTTCTCTCCGTTTCATAGCCTAAAATATCATATTTTAGATTATATGAAATAAACATATAATTGATTAAGATACTCACAATTATTTTTCTACTTTATGAACATTTGTAAATCCATTAGGTACCTAAAGACTAGCTATTGAGACCTATTATTATTCCTATCCTTCATGATCTCTATTAATTTTATATCTTTTTTCTCCATCCCTTTATGATTAAAAAAACATTATTAAAATTAGATTTATACTTTTTGGGTTCAAAATTGTATGATAATGAATTTGGTTCAAGTCAAGTATTTAGTTATTTAATTTTCCGGCTAACGAAAATAGTGATATACAAGTACTTAGCTTGTATAGGAGCGCGTGGAGTGCAGACTTTTAGTTGAAACTAGAAGACAGATCTGGACATGGATCTGCTGTTTCACCAATTAAAATGAAATAAAAATAGAAAAAAAAATCATAAATGTTTAATTTTTTAATTGACATGCCATTTTTTTATTGGTATGAAACGGATTCAGAGACGTGGTTGGGAACAGTAGATCATAGTCCGACTAATCTGAAGTTTGGCCCATCCTCTGCTCCCACAAATGGTAACCGCCACCGTTAGATCCGAAAAGCCTCATCATAGCCGCACAAATATTCACTAACTTTATTAAACCAATAAAAAAGACGACTTTACATGTGGTTGTTCATTATTATTATTATATTATTATTTTTCGGAGGCTAATCTTTAATCTCTAATGCCTAATGAGATCATACGTATTCAACTTTTTAATTAGGGTTCCAGAAAAAGTAGGGTTCAGTAAACTGTAGTCTTGGCCCCAATAATTTACTAGGGATTGATGAAAAAAATTAAATTAAAATTCGTAAAAAAACCCTAAATTCTCCCATAAATAGACACCTTCTCTTCCCTTAACCCTGCAACAATTTTCTCTCTAACCTTAGCCTCTTCATATTCTGCACATCTTTCTCTTAGTGCTGAATTAGGGTTCTGATTTTGTCATGAATTTCCATGACATTATTTTTAATATATAGTCCTGTGGGGCAATTTGAGTCTTTCAATATCATGACCCTCTTTGTATTCTTCCACAGCTTTCTTGAACTGCAGCATCTAAAAGGTTCCTTTGCATGCATACCATACCTTGTCTTGCGGTTCAATAAAGCTGTGGGAAGATACAGATACGGTCAACCACAATTTCTACCTTCAAACACGGGATTCACTCTCAAACTTGGTATCCAATTATTGCAATATCTATTTTTGCTTTTTGTTGTTGTTGTTAATTTACATAATTTCATTGACTTTTGAGATGATTTATCATAATTATCAGATGCAGAAATCAAATATTGAACTTATACCAATTGGGTAGATTTATGATGATGGTGGCAACATATGATTCACGAAACAATTCACCTCACCTTATGGACGTAACAGGTAACGATTCAAGGAATTTCAGCTCCAAATTTCGGCACATGTAAAATTACCATTCATAACTTAGAGGTTTCCTTTCAGATCTTATATATAACCTGTTTCCTTTCAGATCTTAGTGCAATTCTAGACATATATGTTGAGCAAAATATATTTGGGGATGGTGATTAATTTCCACATGAACATTCTTGTGATCATCGTTCAGCCATATAGTTACTTTTGTTTTCAGATTTAATATAATAATTTTTATAATTAGAATTTTTCTTTTGTTTCTTAAATGTCTAATGTGTAGCCTCTAATGCAGGCAAAAGTTACAACTTAATTACAGTGGATGGAAGGTCACCATTGACATTTCTAAATAGAACATGCTTGTCTCACTAATAAATTCATTAATTCTTTGATCTGTACTTGTACCATTAAGTCGGCAAAGTTACAGATTCTTCAGTAATTAAATATATACTTTACCCTGCAGATTCGGCGTATAAGTATCATAGTATCTATTAATTAGTCACAATTACTAGATAGTTAATTGTATTTTATTTGCAAGATAGGAACAATTATACCTCTCTTTCTTAATTACTTTATACGATTAAAAAAGGGTATTATATCTAGATTCATCTCAGCTAGCTAGATCAATGTATTTTAATTAAAAAGTATATCCTCCAGTCACAACAACAAAGACTTTGTTTGTTTTGGATGCACAGGAACTAACTGGAAGGAACAATTTGAGTTACAGATTGCTAGACAATGGACCACAAAATAGTGACCATACTAGTTACTACCTTTATCTCTTGTTTTGAGCTTCCAACAACTTGTGGAAGCTTTTAAGCCAGTGGTTGGTAACCCTAGCAAGAGGTTAGGTGAAGCTTTTATTGGAATAGATTAACCATAAGGAACCCCCATCTAAAATTATTCTAGAGCTGTACTATGCTGATTTTTGCTATAGAAGATAGAAAGGTCCATAAAAGCATTGCAGATGCAGCAGCTTGTGAAGGAAACTAGGGTTCTCTTTTTCCCCAATTAACTTAGAAACTACCATTGTTGAGTTTTAGACTACCTGTTAGTACTACTAGCTTTCATTTACATTCCTATTGATGAGAATCAGTTTGAATCAGACTCATTTTTGTTTATCCTGAAAGCACAAGAAATTAGAGAAAAGTAAAAAACATTTCCAAGTATAGAGAATAAAAAACAAAATTGTTCTTGCATGAACACTTCCAAAATCAATAACATATCAGATGATTATTTTTCTTCATTTTGTTAATTATATGTGAAGATTAGATCCGACAAATTAAAACGGTGAGCTTTCAGCTCCATCAACTTTGCAAGATCTTTTAGATGGTGCATTCACGGGCACTGAGTCCATTCAATAAATAAGGCCACCTCTTTTATTTTTTCTTTTTCAAAAGATAATGCAAAAGTCATATGAGCATGCCACTTTATTTTTAAGATCAATATCCTAATCTTACTGTAACCCACTAATCTAACATGCATATTCTTGTTTGTTCCTCATCTTATGGCTTTATTTTATTTGTTATCCTTGTGGCTAATAAATACTTTTAAACTGATTGACCATGATGTCGGATCCTGCTTTCCCTTGTTTGGATGTATTATCTATCTGTTTATTATATTCACTTTTCTGATTATCAATAAGATAGATTTAGTGGTTCTACAAAGATAACTCCCTAGAATTTATATATGGTGAAAGACAAATTTCGAATATTTAGAAGCTATACTTATAATATCGAAAAAAGAATTAACCTTAATAATTGTGCTGCATGGGATGAGTTGTGGTCAAATAATATGGATTTTGTGATTTGTTTATCTAATTGAAGGGTACTTCAGTAGTTTACTTTGGAGAAAAGGAATGGAAAAAGGTTAGATTTTCTTGTGCTCTGTGATGTATGTGCAAGGGTGGAAAGATCGGTGAAAAAAGTTAAACGACATAGAGAACATAAATTAATAGACAATCCTCTTGATCTTGCTGTATTACCATTTACCAGTCACATTTTGTCTTGTGGCTACAACTGTATGTCAAATTTAAATTATTAAGCATTCCATAACTCAGACATTTATAAGTGATTCAATTCACATAAGTTAAGAAAAATATGGAAAGGTAGTTCCAATTTTCAAATTTATCAACAATTACATTACCATTAAAAAATTATCTCTAATCATTATAATGAGAAGTAAAAAGTTCAGTAAAATATATACATTGAGCATAATTAATATAATATAATGATTTTCTGACATGCAAGTAGGAATAATGGAGTTAAAAATTGTACCCCTCAATGAGCTTATGGCATTGCATTAATGGATCTAGTTCTCTTGAAGAGTGCTATATATTAATTGGATTTTTATTTATGAATTACCACCCCCTAATAATGCTGTGTTGAATCAATTATTCCGCTGATATTGCATTTTCAATGAAATGAAAACCGTTTTGCACCATCTCCATGTCTCATGCAATTATTATTTAGGTGTATAAATAAATACTTATCTGCTAAATACTATGGTTGTTCTTTGTCCTGGGTACAATTTCTTTTTGTTCATGGTTCAACATAATTTCCTTTTAATTTCTTTGGCACTTTCATACCCTGAAATGGGAGGGGTGTTATTATTTATATTGGGCAATCACTATCTGGTTCATCACAGAGTAACATATCTTAATAGCTTACTACCCTACCATTTATGGTTGGCATGTGCAATGTAGTGTTTGTTATCATTTCCGTAATAATCATTTAATAAGTTTATTGCAAATAAGATGCATTTTTCTTCAATAGTGTTTCACCTGGGTGAAGGATTACTCTCCCGTAATGGAGAGTATAACTGGGATTTTGAGATAGTGATTTTAAAAATTAAAAAAAATTGAAAAAAGTAAAAAAATCTAGATCATTATATTGTTTTTGCCACGTGTAAACATTCTAACTATGTACTGCCTTCTCCAGTAATGAAGAGGAGCCAAACTCTTCACCAGCTATATTACAATTTTAAAAGTTTGATTTATGAAAGTGACACTTATTGGGAAATACAACCACGCTTTCAAGGATTAATTCTTTTATGAAATGATGTCAATACCCTTTGTTTTACAAAATAAAGTAAGCCATAAAAAGAGAATCTAATATATAGAATTAGTGTTGCTTTATGGATTGATATCATGGTATCACATCAGGAGGTCAATTGGTCTAGCACTCATGCTGGGAATTATAGTTGAAAGGATGGTTTAGGGTCACGATTTTATCCTTTTACGGTGCTAACTACTACAGCACTTGAAAATTCGACCATCAAAAAACTTTGTATACCTTTGATTTTGAATAGAAAAGTAACCCAGAATGTGTGTCTTCAAAATCTATATTCCTAAAATTCTATTTTGGTACATGTACGGATCTCAAGGTCTTCAATGTCTTTTCTCAACAATATTTTGTTATTACTTTTTTACATTAAATTTTGAATTTTGAATTTTGTATTATAAGTATTTTTATTAAGTATTTCATTTTTATACACTTCATTTTAGATAATTAGAATATATTTGGTGTACTTTATGTTCTAGTTTTTTGTATTTATTATAATGCTTAATTTAAGGTGAAATAAGTGTTATTGTGTTAATGAGAGTTAGTTATCTAGGATTATATATTTTTTTATAAAAAATAAAAAAACATTAAGGGCAAAATAAGGAATTAGAAATGAGTTTATGATGATAGTTACATAATGTTTTGTTTTTATATATAGTATAAATTATTAGCATTATATAGATTAAACTCACATTAATTTAATTCAATAAATTTGATATGATACATTATATACATTAAATTTAAAATAATAAACTATATAAATTTAATATGAGTGACAATGATTTAATATAATAAATATGTAAAATTTATTATAAGTTGTAATGATAAATTTAGTTTTAGACAATGTTATTAAAACCGTACCGGTTATCAAACCGGTCATTATACTAGTATAGTGGTACAGTGGTTCAACTAGTGGTTCAGTAATTAAACCGCATGCCGGTTAAACCAGACATATTTGTTTTTATATGTATGTAAACCTATAAAAAAAATTTCAAATAAGTAGATATTCATATTCATAATTTACACAAAAAAACAATATTAAGTTTGTAATAAAATCAAAGTTTAAAGTGCAAAACATATATTAATCCAAAATTATCACTTAACAAACGCAAAATACAAATAAATGACCAAAGTATCAATCATGAAGTTGAAGAATTGGTGAAGAATTGAAAATTTGAAATTTAAAAAAAAAATTAATGTACAAACCGACCGGTTTTCAACGGTTTTGACCGGTTCTATTACATACTGGTTAGGGGTCCGGTTCACCGGTTTCCGGTTGAACCGGCCGGTACGGCACGGTTTTTATAACATTGGTTTTAGATAAATAAAAGTTTGAATGCTATTCATCTAACTTTTTATTCAATTTGTAAGATGTGAAATATAAGTTGAAAATATAAAATATTAGGAAGAATAAATATTACAATACAAAGGTAGTTTAATGAGTATGCATTCATAGTCTATTGTCATAACATCCACCATTTACATGAATTGCTTTTAAGTTAAGAATTAATAATTAGTAGTCCATAAATGTTGAATGATAAAATAAAAGTGTAAAAAACATTTACATAATCAATCCATAGACTATTTTCTTATACAAAATTATGTCATCTATCAATTCTCTTTATAATAATAGTAAAGGTGGATTATTATTATTTGTCTTATGACAATCATTTCTGTTTGCAATAAATAGTGGAACCTTCAAGTTAAAGGAGTTTTGGCTGCTGTTATTATCCATACTGTAAATACTGTTTGGTTTTGCCACAATCAAAAGATGTTTGATGATAAGGATATAAATCTGGTTCAAGCTAAGGCTAGAATTAAGCTAGTAACTTCTTTGTCCGGAAACAATTCAAAGCTTTTGGCTAACTCTACTGTTCAGAATTTTGTTATCCTTAGAGAGTTTAATATAGCAATCAACTATAATTGAGCTCCAATAATTAAGGAGGTTGTGTGGATTGCTCCTAGTGTGGGGTGGATAAAGATCAATTCGGATGGTGCTGCCCAGGGTATGCTGGAGGAGGCAGTATATTTAGGGACTACACTGGTGTTTTTAAGGGTTTGCAACCTTCTTCGATATTCAGGACTCTTTGTTGGCAGAGTTACAGGCTGCAATTATGGCAATTGAGATTGCTCATGAAAAAGGCTGGAATGCTATTTGGGTAGAATGTAACTAGTGGACATTTTCATGGCAAAGGTTTTGTTCCATGGAAGCTTATTAGTAAATGGAATGTGTGCAAGGTGTGGATCTTTTCAATGGCCCTCAAAATGACACATATTTTTAGAGAAGATAATACTTGTGTTGATAAACTAGTTTCATTTGGTATCTCCTCTAAAGTTTATACCTTATGCTTATAGAAATAAATATGATATGTCCCAAAAAAATCATGTCTTTATGAAAAAGCTAGCTCAATTAATAGACATTGTGAGTATTTGAGTCCAAACACAACTGCAATCTCCACTTCACTGTTAAAAAAAGTACCCATAAGAAAATGACAAGTGTTAACAGTAAACTAATAGTTAATAAGCAAATACTACCATTTTTTATAAGTAGGATAATTTTGTATGGTATTCTGTAGAAGGATTATTTTTATATTTAATCATTTGTGCCTAGCTAGGTTGCAGTTATGCAGTATGTCCTTTTAGTTTCACATAAACGACAGATCATGTGGTAAACAGAATTATTTATGGAAACGCTGCAATAACAGTATTTTGGAGTTTTAATAACTATTGAAACCTTCTTATGTAGATGCTTGAAATTGAATCTGATCAATCCCATAATGCACTACGCATATGAGTGGTGCCAGAGTCCCATTGACAACATTGCAGTCAGTAAAAGGTTTCTAAGTAAATTTTAGGTTAACACAGTAAAAATGAACAGAAGATAATGAGTACGAAATTACACTGCATGGCAACTGAAACAAACATTCCTGTTTACCCCTCCCATACGTCATATACTACCACATTAATTCTTTTATATAATGTATAATATTATTATCTGGAGTGATAAGGTGATCTAATGGTTAGGCCGGGTGAAAGGTTTAAGGAATGAAGTGAAAGAGGTTGTGGGTTTGAGTCTCACCCGTAACAAATTAAAAAAAAGACTTATTTGATGGTTAGGATGAAAAGTTAAAGTGAAGAAGCCTGAAAATTCAAGTCACACCGACAACATATTATCATCAGTTAATTCAACATTTGGTGTCAATGCTCAAAAGCAAAATTGGGCTAAGATAAGATATTATGTAAAAGCCATTTACATAATTTTTTGCAGAACCAATGAAATCACATGATGAATATATCTATGATATCTTTTTTATAGGAAGATCAGAAGATGCAGAGAAGTGCCATGCCTCCTGATTAAATCTGAATTTATGTGGTCCCACTTCTCTTTGTACAACTTGTTGCATTCCCTTTGGCTAAACCTTCACACTGTATCTAAGCTTTATCCCTTCTATTTGGTAAAGTTTCTCTCTAATCCATATTCCTTATATAATGCTCTAATCCATATTCCTTATAAATCAGATGAAAATTCAGTTGATTTAAGACTTGTATATTCTAAATTGGTTCTATATACTATTTAGCTATGCACAAGAATGCAGTTAGTATATGTCACTGTATATATGAATGGTTGTGTAAAACTGTAATACAGTAGAAACTTTACTGACAAGTGAATAATAGGAGACAACAAGTATCATAAATTACCCAAGATTTCAGCACCAAAATGGCTTTCTACAGAGAAAGAGACAGCCAGAGAGAGAGAAAAAGAAAGGATGAAAAAATGAATCAATCAATAGGCAAATTATGTCAGAAAAGAGGAGTGGTTAAAAAAATGATGTCATGTAGTGACAAAGATTAACCTTTTTCACAGAAATGTAGGAGAAGATGTGGATTCACTAAACCAAAAGGGCAACAGGAAGAACTATCATCATTAATGATAAAAAGGAAAGGTAAGGAATCTTCTCTGCAACCATTTACTCTTTTTTTTCCACCATTTGATTGAATGAATCAGATTTTTAGTAATAAACTAGTGAACTAGTAAATGGGAAAGTTCACCTAATTCTACACACAACTAGTAAACATTTAATTCTGTTCCTTTTTTTAATGTAAAAGAAAGTAAAATTGCAATTTTATACTGGCCCTCATCTTGCATGGCTTAAACTTCAGTGTAATATTAAATTTGCTCTTCATCATGTCTTTCTTTGTTTTTTTAACCTACATTGTTATTCTTCATCATCCTAGACCCAAGACAAAAAAACATGTTTTAGAATCACCTACCAAATTTCTCACTGAAAACAAGAGTGTTGAATTATAGTAAAGTGAGTCTTTTCCTACTTCCATTTAAGAAAACAGAGAGAACAATTTGACTAGATTGAAATGCAGAATTTGTAGCAAGAGCACAAATTCAGGTAAAGTGAATCTAACATTTAGCAAGTCTATAATTTCTTCAAGATTTTGAGAGTCTATCATACAACTATACCAGAAATTCTTGTAGAGAAAGAGATCATAGTTGTGATAGTGAGATTTACCTTAATATACTTAGATGAAAGGATAAGGTTCAAAACTTCAAACCATGCACTCTGCATCTTCAAGAGGAGTAGGAGAAAGCAAGCCTAAGTTGCCATATTCTCCCACAGCTTTCTTGAACTTCTAGGGCTTAAAATTATGGACATGGAGAACTTTACAATGCATAAGAAGTTCAAGAAAGCTGTGGAAAAGTATGACCAGGACTTGAACACAAAATGGAGCCTTAGATCTCAAATATGAACCTAGTTGTGTATAATATAGTTAGAAAAGTGAAAGGTGGGTGAGGGAGGTTAAAATAACAGGGAAAGGAAGGATGAGGCTTTAGCAGAAGAGAGTAAAGGAGGGGTGAGATTATGAGTATGGCCATACAAAGTTTTCATGGACCACTCTATACCATTTATAATATCAATCTACTACCACCTTTATGGAGAAGAGGGTGTGAAAGAGAAGGGTTGGTTGGGTTTGGGGTAGGGAAGGGTGAGTGTAGGGTTAACCCTTCACCTACACAAAGGTGCAATGCAATTTACCTATAGAATGGCTTATTTAGTGCTATGAATCCACTCAAATGTAAGTATATGAGAGAGAAGTTTTTATTTTTGTAATTACACTTTAGAATAAAAGCGTAAGATTATTCATCTTGTTTTAAATGTAATTACGTTTCTTTCTAGTACTGAAAATGATCCTAACTAGTGGGTCACATACAAACATTTGAATACTTACTATGCCTTACTAAGGGTTTGTTGAGACTTATAGTATTCTTTGACCATATGATCAAATAATCACCCATTACCTTAAAATTATGTTTGACTTAAATATAGAATATTTAAGTAACAAAAAGATAAGGTGAAAAGGGCACAATAGAGGTTGTAAATTGGAAAACCATCTCGATCCCTCACATGCCACCATGTGAAAAGGATCTCTCTCTTTTTTGTCAAGATTTAAAGGTATGGGTGGTTTATGGTCCCCCAATCTTTGTTTACGCATTAATTTCTTTCTCTTTGATTTATGAATAAATAAATAAATAGGCCATAATCAATAATTTTGAAAATGTTTTAAATGGATAGAATAATTTATCTATGAATAATGTAAATAACATTATTCTTTATCTAGAGCTAGTTAATAATTATGACAATGCACAATGTGGTAGTGTATGAGGGGATAAGGATCCTCTGTCACAAATATTTTTTGTCACATTGTCCTTACTCAATCAAATTTTATAAAATAATATTAAAATATTAAATTCTGATTTTGTTATTTTTATTTTTAATTGATTTTTTTTTCCGGCAAAGGTAAATAATTTTATTAAATAAAAGAGATATTTACAAGAACAAATGAGAATTACAAAGCAATGTTGAGACAATCAAACAAATTAGCAATCCAATCGGCATAAGGTAAAGATTTTCCCCCCAACATAGTCCTAGTGCAAAGCCAAGCTTTTACCTTAGCTGAGTCGATGATATTGTGAATGGATGACTTAGCGTTATTAAAGATATTTTCTTTCATAGCTAGTCATAAAGCCCAAATAGTGAAGATTCTTTTTAATTGAATGAAACTTTCTGATTAGTTTGGTACATAAAATGAGACATAAATGAGGACATGTTATCTCCATAAGGGACTATAATTTTGCACTTCTCTTTTTCTCTTCAATTCACAAGTCCTATGTCCTAACTCCTAACTACTGAACAGAAGTAGCGAAGTTGAAGTTTGTTTCCATATAAAGTGCATGTGGTAAGTTGAAACATAACATATTATCATCACACCGTTATCATGTGGTAAGTTGCGTCATATTGTGGGTCACTATCTCTCCCAAGTGGGTCCTCCATACTCACTTATTTCACAATTCCACCTATTTATACACATCTATTTATTTACAGGACCATGATTTTATTATACCTTAAATCAAGGGGAAAAATACCACAAAAAAACAGAAATATGTAAATAATTACTAATAGAACAATAATTAAAAGTGAAGAGAACGTGAGAGGTGTATTATTCAGTTTTTTTTTGTAGTGTACTGAGCAAGTGGGATGGTTTGTTTGTGTTGGCACAGAAATGAAAGTTTTTACCGTGTGACTTTCGTGCGTTCAATGAGCGATTGAGCATATTTTTTTTATCGGCAAATAAAGTTTTATTAAAAGAAGGAAATAATTACAAGTAGTATAGGAAGGAAATAATTCAATGAGCGATTGAGCATGTGCTTGCAACTAAGTATATGGTCGATTAGGGTTCTTCTCCACCTGGCACAACTAGATTATGGAAGCCCAACGAAAGAGATCATCCTGGAGCAAGGTCTACGACAATGCGATCCTCTATCACCTTTCCTCATTCTCATCGTAGTTGAAGGCTTAAATGAATTGATGAGACAGACTATCGCAAAAGGCACCTTTACACTGTATAAGGTGGGGCTCGACGAGGTAGGGATATCCTTGTTACAATTCGCTGAATATTGATCCAGACATGATTTGAGACATATTTTGGGACAATAGATCCTTGTCAACTTAGAGGGTTCTTAGCTTTTAGGGTTGCCATATATTGAGACTGTGATACTGGGGCCAAGCTATCTGCGGTTGCATTTGAATTGAATGAATGACCTTATTTGCAGTGGCTGCCTCTCACGGGTCATAGTCTCATTCAGCCACTCCTACGAACGCTACCTTTTCAGATTTGCTTTCTTCATAATCGACACCCTTTTCCACATTAAGTTCTTGTTTCTAGTTTCAGGCAAATACAGCTAATATCTGGGAAAAAAAAGATTCTATCTCTATGATGTAAATTGTGATACCAACCATTGCCATTATACAAATATTTCAATCTCCACTGTCTCTCTAGTATATATGTAGTTTATAGTCATGTTAAGTAAAAAACTTGATGATACTAGTAGCTATAGCACTTGTAACAATGTAAGGTATAATTCAGAAAGTCATCATATTTGGTAATTAATGTTGTAAATGTTATCAGAAGAGTAGACAATATGTGGCCCTAGCTACAGTAATACTATTTAATCTGCATTGAAACTTACTGTTTGAACATGTTGGTGTTGAAATGTGCCACAACTTTCTAGAGAGTTCTATAAGAATGTGACATATTTAGCTTGCGTCTAGAGAGTTCTAGATAAATCATATTTGATAGATATAACATGTATGGTCTAAGACCTTCATGATATTCTTGATGTATTGAAAATAGTCCTATAAATATGACTTATGAGGTTAATTGTAGAGTGTGTGGTAGTGAATGGTGTTCTACTATATATGAAAATCTAGGCCCTTCAACCCACCAAAGTACTCCTCTAACTATTGATCAATCAAATATATGTTTTCATCTATGATCCATCTCCTCCTATGCTCAACTACCATTTCTATCACCCAGTCAAACCTAACACTTGGCACATTGGATTATATGTTGTTTAGTTTTTAAAGTTGATATTATATTTCAGGATTCAGGGGCCAGAGAAATCATTCAGCAAGGAACCATGCATGTATCTGCAATGTCCCTATTGTTACACTGTTCATCCATTTCTCCATCGTCATTGAGTTGTACCATCTCACTTTCTTATAGCATGCCAAAGGGGTCCATATTCAACAACACAATAGTTCATTCATCTCAGATATGCAAACATGCCGCTAATGGCGAACTCAGATATATGCGAGTATCCTCTCAAAGCTGAGAATCTATTGCATTCCAAAGTTGAGCTAGAATTTAAAATATTGTGACCTTAAAGAAATTATATTTTTAAGCTAAAACTATTTCTAAGAAGTAAGATTAGCGAAACTCAAAAGAAATAAGCCAAATTTTGAGATATTAGTGGCCAAGAATCCAAAAGTAAAACATGAGAGGATATTGAGCAAATATTTTCAAAATATATATTTCTTAAAAAGTATACTATAAATATATAATTAATTTAAAAAATGTATCATCGCAAACACGAAGGAAAATATTCTATACCCACTATTTCTTAATGATTTGGCTATTTTGGTTGTAAAATTATTAACATTTAATAGTGGGTATAAAATATTTCTTTTTAGTAAATATTTGCACACATCAGAAGCTAAGGAGAACTATTCATAATATAATAACGAGTTTAACATTTTTGTGGTGTTATTATAATTTTTTTTACACATCATTCACTACCTATGCATGCATGTGTAAGTTTTATTCAATAATGAATGACGCCTAACACATATGAATAATAGGTGATGTGATAATGATATAAAAAAAATTCTTTACCTAATAGAAGTAAACATTTTTCATTACTTTTTTTATTAGTAATGATATTCATTAATATAGAAAAAGGAAAAATTAATTAGGAGAACAAATAGTACTTTTATCCATAAATTTATACGAGTAAAAATCGTCTCCATTAATGGAGAGGCAAGTGAAAGGAGAACTACCATTACTTAATATATCTATCGTAAACATTTTCCTCATGATGTTATTTTTTGTGGGGATGCTTGTGATACTGTTGTTTGTTGGTTTTTGTGAAGGTGAGATGTTGGGTTCAGTTTTCCTCTATGAGAAACCAAAATATTCTTTTTCTTCAGATTGGTGTTGCATACTTTTGTGTTGTATGCCAGCTTAATATGAGGCCCCTCTGTAACAGTTGATTTTGATAAGTACATTTCGTACTCAGTTTTAATAATGTACTTTGGTTTATTAATTAAAAAACATATTTATTGTAAATGTTAGAGAGCAACCAAATAAAAATGAATCCCCAAATGCTAAATATTTATTTTTTGAATTCCAAAAATAAATGTATCTTATTCATCCACTATCTTCATTAATATTTTAATCTTCTAATCTCATTTTTTCATTCTTTCAAAATCATTATCTTTTATTTCCATGCAGAAAGATTGTGAGCAATTACCTTCTTTTAAAAGTGAAGTTTTGAAAGAAAATTATCTTAACTTTAAACCTTCCTGAAAATTATCATAACTATTCATATAAAAGTATTATGATGCACTCGCATAGTATAAATCTTAATTTGATCATCACTATTTTACTAGTTTGAATGCATTTTAGTTGGTATGCCATCTAATCTTGTCTTCTATTTAAATGCTTTCATCACCACCTAATATGTCCAAGTGCATA